AATCATCCTACAACATAGCACCATGTGACAAACAGTCAAATTCGGTCACAAAAACAACATTATGTCAAAACACATTTTTTGGTTGAACCCAACCTCCGTGGAGGGTTCCAAGACTTTCATCAACGAGCTGCGCAGCTCTGCTACAGGCAGCCAATTCCGCTTGGAACGTGTCTTCACACCACCCGCAGTAGCCAGGACTCGAAGCTGATGAGCTGGTATTTCCGACAAACAAACGACTGAGCCACTCCTTGCCCTGTGAAACAGCTCCAAGGCGAAGTTCTTCCAATTTGGCAGCCGATGCCTCGTCCACCTACGGCATTCGACACACTGCCACCACAAAACAACAATCATCCTACAACATCGCACTATGTGACAAACAGTCAAATTCGGTCACAAAAACAACTGATATCAAAACACATTTTTTGGTTGAACCCAACCTCCGTGGAGGGTTCCAAGACTTTCATCAACGAGCTGCGCAGCTCTGCTACAGGCAGCCAATTCCGGTTGGAACGTGTCTTCACACCACCCGCAGTAGCCAGGACTCGAAGCTGATGAGCTGGTATTTCCGACAAAGAACGACTGAGCCACTCCTTGTCCTGTGAAACAGCTCCAAGGCGAAGTTCTTCCAATTTGGCAGCCGATGCCTCGTCCACCTACGGCATCCGACACACTGCCACCACAAAACAACAATCATCCTACAACATCGCACTATGTGACAAACAGTCCAATTCGGTCACAAAAACAACTTATGTCAAAACACATTTTTTGGTTGAACCCAACCTCCCCGTGGAGGGTTCCAAGACTTTCATCAACGAGCTGCGCAGCTCTGCTACAGGCAGCCAATTCCGGTTGGAACGTGTCTTCACACCACCCGCAGTAGCCAGGACTCGAAGCTCGTCTCTTCCTATTTCCGACAAAGAACGACTCCTTGCCCTGTGAAACAGCTCCTAAGCGAAGTTCTTCCAATTTGGCAGCGGATGCCTCGTCCAACTACGGCATCCGACACACTGCCACCACAAAACAACAATCATCCTACAACATTGCACCATGTGACAAACATGCAACTTTCGTCACAGTCCTATTCTGCCCCACTGGACCTGCATGCGTGGTGCCAAGACATCCAGCAATCGAGCGCGCAGCTCTCCCACCGCAGGCCACTTCCTGTCCGGTCCACGGCCAACATTCCGAGCACGTGCCATTTTGCGAAGCTCCATGACAGAAATTTCTGCCAGGGCATCCTGGAGCCATTCACGACCCCTGGTCACAGCACTGCGACGCAGCTCCTGCAACCGAATTTCCACGGCATCGGACGACGCGGACGACGCGGTCGCATGCTCCATTCGCACGGACATTCCCTTCAGCAAATGAAACAGCGAACACAAAATGTCCACAAACGTCACGGGTGCGTGACTTGAACCAAACATTTTGCATTCAGAAATTCCGAGACATGCATATCTGTTCGCTTGATTTCAAAACAATGCCATGACATGCTTGATTTCAAAACAAAATTGAACGGTACAAAATTGAACGGTACAATGATTCCCGTAGTATTTTTTTGTCCACTGCTCATGCATTTCAATGAAAACATCACATATATTTTTTTTCGTGCTATACATCACATAGATCCACTGCATCGTAAACAAACACTGACATTGTCACAATGCAATTCTCGAGATCTCACGGACAGCCCCTACAGAAACCTCGAGAAGTGCCAGAAATGTTAAAGATACCTGTTTGCCAATCGTCACTTGTTTCACGAACATTCAGCGTACATATAAGAATATGGATGTTCACTCTGTGCACAATGCATCTTGTCTCTACGTTCACGTCTGAGCCCAGGAAAGAGGTAAAGAGGTAAACTATGCTTGTCGCTGCAGAGTTGCACAATCCACTGCAAAGCATTTGTTCTCTGACTTCCAAACTGAGAACACCACTCATGAGTTTGACATGGCAAGAACCACTGTCGCAGAGACCTGCAAACTGAAGGCTGAACGCATCAACAAAAAACTACTTTAACAAAGCTCGGCACACCATCTTGCATCATCTCGCAATGCCTTGTTTCATCTTGCATCATCCTGGACTTCCAAACTGAGAACACAATTCGTGAGTTTGACAGTTGGGATGGGCATCATTGTCGAACATATCAACCAAAATTCGGTTTGAAAAAGAACACATGTTATTCCATTTTAATATACAATTTCCCACACAAATTGGCAAAAAAGGCTCGGTACCATGATGCTGTAAATTACATGCATCACACCGTTCTCGAAGGAAACATCCACAAAGGTACAACGAACCCAACAGCTTGGTAACTTCTAAATTTCATGCACTAACCTGCTACACACTCGCACAATTCAATGCAAAGAATTTGTTCTTCGAAGCCTGAGACCACGACTCCTGCGTTTGACAAGCAAACATCATTGTCGCATAGACATGCAAACTGAACAGTGAAGCTCACTATGAACATATCAATTCCCACACAAATTACCACACCAAACGAACCGAGCTCCGCACGTCCTAGCACGGATGCACTAGCAAGCATTTTCACCCTCAATCTCTAACAGTTCCATGTCGTGCGGTAAAAGTACACACAAAAACTTTTACACACAAACGCTTTTACACATGGTGCTTTTACACAAACACACTTTGACACACAGACGCTTTGACACACAAAAGCCTTTACACACAAACGCTTTTACACACAGACGCTTTTACACACAGACGCTTTTACACACAAAAACTTTTACACACAGACGGTTTTACACACAGACGCTTCTACACGCAGACGCTTTTACACGCAGATGCGTTTTACACGCACACACGCTTTCACACACAAACGCTTTTACACACAGACGCGTTTACACACAGACGCTTCTACACGCAGACGCTTTTACACGCATTTTACACGCAGAAGCTTTTTACACACGCACACACGCTTTCACACACAAACGCTTTTACACACAGACGCTTTTACACACAGACGCTTTTACATGCAGATGCGTTTTACACACGCACACACGCTTTCACACACAAACGCTTTTACACACAGACGGTTTTACACACAGACGCTTTTACACACAGACGCTTTTACACGCAGACGCTTTTACACGCAGATGCGTTTTACACACGCACACACGCTTTCACACACAAACGCTTTTACACACAGACGCGTTTACACACAGACGCTTCTACACGCAGACGCTTTTACACGCATTTTACACGCAGAAGCTTTTTACACACGCACACACGCTTTCACACACAAACGCTTTTACACACAGACGCTTTTACACACAGACGCTTTTACATGCAGATGCGTTTTACACACGCACACACGCTTTCACACACAAACGCTTTTACACACAGACGCGTTTACACACAGACGCTTTTACACACAGACGCTTTTACACGCAGATGCTTTTTACACACGCAGACACGCTTTCACACACAGACGCCTTTAAACACAGACACTTTTACACAAACGAAAGCGTCCATCGCAATTTTTCCTCCGTTTTTGACGTCCAACGTCCATTTCGTGCGAAAGGGTTACGATTGACCAAGTAAAATCGCATTTTTTCCTCAATTTTTGACGTCCAACGTCCATTTCGCGCGTAAGGGTTGCGATTGACTTAGTAAAATCACAATTTTTCTTCAGTTTTTGACGTCCAACGTCCATTTCGTGCGAAAGGGTTGCGATTGACTAAGTAAAATCGCAATTTTTCCTTAGTTTTTGACGTCCAACGTCCATTTCGTGCGTAAGGGTTGCGATTGACTAAGTAAAATCGCAATTTTTCCTCAGTTTTTGACGTCCAACGTCCATTTCGTGCGAAAGGGTTGTGCGGGACGCTTCAAAGTCGCAATTTTTCCTCACCCTATAGAAGAGGTTAGACAATTAAGAAGGAAATAGTTAATTCTGAAAAATAGTTAAGTCGATGTTTTTAGGCAAAAAAAAAGTTAACTAATTAGTTAAGTTGTTTTTGTCTTAGTTAAAAAATAGTTCAAAAAGTAGTTCTAAAAATAGTTTAAAAAATAGTTAAAAAATAGCTTTAAAAATAATGTTAAAGAAAAACACTTTCCCCTATTTCTGAGCTAATTCAAGGCCAGCTTGTTTTGAACATATATTTCATGTTTCGAAGCTATTTGTTTTAAACAAACTGATTACTATACCTTGCGTTGTGTGAAAGAAACCATGGTTTTGTGCAAATTGTTTTTTTGATTTTGAGCACCTGGGTGGTTGAACATGTGGCTTCTGAATTTCAAGGTAGCTCTCAAAGTGGCTATCACAAGTGTGTCCCTCAAAGTGGTTCTCATAGGTGTGTCTCTCTCAGTGGTTCTCAGAAGTGTGTCTCTCCAAGTGGTTCTCACAAGTGTATCTCTCAAAGTGGTTCCAATAAGTGTGTCTCTCAAAGTGGCTCTCATAAGTGGGTCTCTCAAAGTGACATTAATGACTTGAAGTGGCACCCCCAAGCTTCCACAATTCCCAAAATAACTTCTACCTTAACTTTCACCCCATGTTTTGAACCAACATGCACCCTACACTGTGTACTTCCTATTTTTCTCTCAAAGTGTATCTTGCTATCAAAATGAATGTTCAATATGCCACCTCACAATTTGGAAGGTGTTTTCCAGCCTCTACCTTGCAGTGCACACCAAAAAAAAAGACAATGCCACAAACTTCCAAACATCAACCTCAGCCAAATGCATCATAACAACAAAATTGTTTGGACTAATGTTTTTCAGGCACATGCACAAGAGCCACCAAGTGCCCCAACCCATGCCAAAAAATGTTTTCCAGTCTTGCAATCTCTTGCTGCGACACCATTGCTAGCAGAGCAAAATGCTCTTGATAAAGCTGCCAGAATCTGTGATATGCCCAGGGTTGCACACATTGTCAAAATTGCAACCCATCCAAAAAAGACAGTTGAACTATGACAACTTCAGTTTATATAAAATATAGGTTGCTTTACCTGCATTTCAAGTTCTCACAAATTTCTGGTCTTACCCTACGGCAACCCCCTCACCTTGAGAGTTGTTTTCACTCCTTCAATCTTCTCATTGGCCTTTTGGGTTTGCTTGGCCAGGTTTGTCATCCAATCCTTTCCACTCGCGACATCCCATTTCTTGCCTCCAGGTAATTCCTAGCACAGTCTGAAGCTGGATGAAATACATAAGGTTTAGGTTGGACCATGTAAGGGTGCATATGCTAGTTGTATTCAAAATGTGGTCTAGACAGCAAGATGTCTTTCAAAGGATGCTTTCTTGCAAACTGGGAAAAGTGGCTGGCTATGAAAGAACAATGTTTCCAACAATGTTTCTCAAAATGATACCTCAAAGTTTTCCCTCAAAGTGCTCAAAAATTTGTGCGCCCTCAATCTGCACCCCTCAAACTGAGACTCTCAAAGTGTGACCTTCAAAGTGCCCCCTACAAAGTGCAACCCTGAAAGTGCAAATCTCCAAGTGTTCTCAAAGTATATACCTCTCACAGTGACCCCCACACCAAACCAGCAGACCTTCCACAGCAAACAGTGGTCCAAATCCTTGTCATTGTCCTGCAAATCCTTGAGGCTGCCCTTGAAGGTGTCAAGTAAGTCCTGATCCTTTGCTGCCAACACCTGTTCCTTCAACTTCATGCCATCCCTGATCAACTTTTCCTGAGCAGCCTTTGCTGACTGCAACACCTTCTCAACATGGTTCCAGTCAACTTCTTGAGTCTTTGGCTTTGTTAAAACTAGAACTGTGTCTCCTGCTGCTTCTCCTGCTGCTTCTGCTGAGTCCTCCACTTGCTGCTGCAGTGAGCCAACATTCAAGCTCTTGAACCAGTCAGAAATGACTTGGTGAGAGCTTTCATCCAAGCTGTGCTGGCCATCATTCAATTCACTTTCATCACCCAAACTTTTCATCCTGCCTGACTTCAAAGTGTTGTAGCTATAATAGTCCTTTCCCTGGTAGCTGGTCACAGCAACATCCCCACACTGTAAAGCTTTCTCTAGTGCACTTTCGTTGCCACCAAACTTGTCATAGAGCATGATGGACCAGGGGAAACCTGAACCAAGCCATCAGTCACAACAAGGTGAAGGCTTTCAGCATTGATTTGGATGGCTATGGTGTTTGACAAAATGACACATGAACCAGAACTAAATCTTAACCATGAACCCCTACTTAAAAAAATGAAGATAGACATTTTTCATGAAATCTAGAAATACAAAACCAGGCAGGCCCAGGTGTATGATGTGTTTTTTTGGGAGAATATACTGTTTCCAAAGTGATGCTCAAAGTGGGCTCCAACATGATTGCCTGCAAGTGGCACATGTCCCTTCACCATCACTATTTGCTTCCCCAAAAAGGTACCACATGTGTATGTGCCTTTGATTTTTCCATACATATACATTTGTATGTGTGTACTGTGTGTACCTTGTAAGTTGTAAACTTGCATCCCAGTAACTTTGTGCCTCTTCCTTTCCATACTTCACATCCAACAGCTTTTGAACCCTTTTGAAGGCAGGGTCTTTGGGAACCATCACAAAGTTGTTGCCCTCTTTTCTGAAAAGGCTGTTGATGAGCTGAGTTTTGTTGGCTCTTGGGTTTTGGCTTTTTTCAGCTGCATCAAAGGCCTCCTTCACTTCTGCAGGCAAAGCACCTGCTTTCTCAAGCTTTCTACACTTTTGTGCCTTCTGCCTGTCTCTCTCTTCAGCCTTTGCCTCTGTGGTATTGTCCTTCTCTTCATCTTCTGGCTTGTCTAAATTGTATTAAATTGTCAACCCATTTCATTGCTTGGTCCTTCAAAGTTTCCTTTCCTTTCTTTTTTGGGGGTTCCTTCTTCTGCTCCTGCTCTGACTGCTCATCTGTATGCTTTGGCTTGTTGCTGCCAGCTGCTTTGGGTGCTGCCTTTGGTGTTGACTTTGCCTTTGCTTGTGACTTTGGTACCTTTTTAACCTTGGTAGTAGGCTTTACCTTGGCAGCTGCCTTGGCCTTACCACTGGCTGCTGGCCTCTTGAGTCCTGTGGCCTTTTCTGCTGCGCTGGGACTTTTAGCATGTGACTTGGGTGTGGCTGCCTTTGGTGTAGTGGCTTTCTTTGGTGTAGCTTTCTTTGTGGCTTCCTTCCTTGACTCATTTTCTTTCTTCTCAGGTGTCTTTGGTGCATTTTGCTCACCCAATGCAGCAGCTTGTTCAGCCACTGTTGTTTCTCCATTTGGAGGTTCTGCCATGGCGGGTCTTTTCATCAACAAAGTGTGAAACTAAATCTTCACACAGAAGATTCTGGTGTGATGTCCCCAAAACAAAACCCAACACACAATAGATTACACTTTGATAAATATTATGTTTTGGGCAAACCATGTGGGCATCACACTTGAATGAAAAAGTAACACTGTTCTTGGGCAATGCAACAAATGATTTGTGTCAAACCATTGTGTTGGAGCATTTTCAAACCAATTGTCCCTCTGTGAAGAAGAAAATGCAAACACTTTGCATTTTATTTGTGGAAAAAAAACATGAATTCTGAATAGGAAAATCATCATTTGTACAAGAAAATATGTGAAAATATCAACCAAAAACAAGTGGCTGGGTAGAAGTTTGGTAGTAGTTTGGTAGAAGTTTCTAGTAAACTTCTACCCCAACATAGAAACTTCTATCAAACTTCTACACTAGTAGAAGTTTGGGAGAAGTTTCAATGAAACTTCTAGTGTGCGTATAGAAGTTTGATAGAAACTTCTACCAAACTACTATCAAACTTCTACACCTGAAGTTTTGAAATTTTGATTTTTCTATGATTTTCTTTGCGATTTTGTTCACATATGAACAAACACATGAAACTTTTCTCTCAAAGTGAGTGCATCTCTTTCTCTCAAAGTGTGCTTTGCCAGTATGAAAGTGCCCATGAATTGCCCACCAACTACCCACCAAGTGCACTCAAAGTGTTGCCTCTCAATGTGGTCTCTCAATGTGTTACTTTCAAAATATAGAAGGTGACCCAAAGTTGAAACCACTCAGTAGGTGATTTTCAGCAGGCTAGTTGAAAGATGTTCCATCGCCAGAAGTTTGCTACCTTGGCTGACAATGCCAACAACTTGTATGAGGTGTGACACTGTCACTTGTAATTTCCAGGTTCTGTCAAGTTACAAGATCCCAAGGTCATAAGTCATCAGCTGGAGCTGGTGGATGGGCTAGATGGATTATCCCATCCCCTGAGTGCCAGGTGAAGGGTGACAGGCATAAAATGATATTTAGGGACCAATAGCTTCATACATTCTTGGTGTGTAAAAGCGTAATTTGCCCAGTGGCCCTGGCATGTGCATTTGGGTGATCTTTTCCTGGCACAAGGTGAAGCAACAAATAGAAAGATAAACAGTGGTGTCAAAAGAATTGCTCCAAAAAAAGTTGCCTTGCAAAAGCACAGTCCTTCAAGGCTTCCTTGTCAGCTTGAGTCACCCAGTGCCAGCTCTGTGCAACTTCATCAAAAGTTTTCCACTCTTGCCAACCAGAGGCATAGGTGGTCAAATGCCACAAGGCACCATCTCTCCAAGTCCACTTAGTACCAACAAAGCTTGGGCCATTGCCACCTAACCTGTCTAGAAACCTTTGCATGCTGCACCTGTAGCACCTTGAACTTGCAATGGTTGCAAGCCATCCCAAGTCAAGTAAGCTAATGACCCTAGCTAGTGT